TAACGTATCACGTATAAAGTACTAATTTATATCATAAGAATCATTAAGGAAAATATGAAGTGTATGTTCGTGTTACATTTAGTCTTTATTTTATTAAAATCAGTTCATTCAATCAAAAGTTATGATAAATATTCTGAAGTATGAATACGAAGTATAGATACGAATCTAAAACCCAGTAAACAAAAGTATTAAAGAACGTATTAAATAAAATATACAAAAATATATTATAACCTTATTAACTAAATCTAAAGTGAAATAGTTAACCAATTTCATCCATAGATGACGGTATAGTGCAAATGTAATACAAAAAGGCGTTTTGCTTACTATGCAGACACTGGTTTATAAGTTCTTTTATGTTTTATATATATAATAATGTACCAATCGCGTCAATTAATCTCTTTTATTTTTAGAATTGATGTTGTTGAAATTGAATTGCTGTTAGCAGCGCCATCTCTCTTTAAATATATACTTATAATAAAAATGGTGATAACATGTTTTGTCTGTTTTTGTACATTGTATAGAATATTTGTCACTAAAATCATTACAGGGAAATTAAAATAATGAAATTAGCACATTTTTATAATTTTTAGAATTGTCTGTCTGTCTGTCTGTTTGTTTATAAACGCATCACATCTAAAATAAATATTTTTCTTAAAGAAATCGTTAAGAAAATCATAGAGCGTATGTTCAAGTTATATTTAATTTTTGTTTTATTAAATTTGGTTAATTCTATCGAAAGTTGTGATTATTAGTTTAAAATGTAGGTTCGAATTTGTTCAATGGCGAAAAAGTAATAAAAAGATTTGTGTGTAAAAAAAGTTCCATTATAATATATTTATACTTAAAACACAGTAAAGAATAGTTTTCCTTAAATTAAAAAAGTTTCCTCACAAAGAACGTAATAGATGGCATTGTACAAATTACATTCTTTTCTCTCCGAATCGTGTTGAGACTCACTGACACTGACTGACTGCAGTCACAGTCTCACAAATAACCATACATTACCCAGAACCAATGTAAATATTATATATTTTCAATTTCAATTTCAACTTAATAAATTAAATTAAATTAAATGATATATATTATGAGTTTATTATGAGTTATAAATATATATATAAGTAAAATAGTCAATTTATTTTGTATCAGATTATAATGAACATACTAATATCCGAAATCACAACTTCCCGCAACTCAATAGAGAACTCATATCCCAACTTCAAAGGATGCTACGTGAAATAAATGCATACGTTCATAGTATTAGGGTTGCATTGCAATCGATCCGTCAAGATTTAATAAACAATTATAAAATAGTTATTAACGCTGACAGACGTCCTGTTACTGAACACCGCGGTAGCAACGTTCCTGTCACTAATGAAGTGGCAGTGGTATTAGTTGACCAGGAGTGCGATAGACGTGACGTCGTGTTGCACACACATGACGATCGACTGTCAGGGATTTATGAAACGCATCAATATTATGATGCTCTACAATATCCATTAATATATTGTCACGGTGAAAATGGGTGCAATTTCTGAATTTATCAAGTTAATCCTAATACCAGAGAGACCAATTTTAATTAAAAAAAATATTTACTCTGCAATTTTATTCGCACCTGTTACATGTAAGGCATAATAGTCTTGCGTATCAGCAAAGATTTCCGGGGTTGTTTAACCAATATAGTGGACATGTATGCGAAAATAGAGACAGAGCGTTTAGTGTATATACGCACTAACCAGAGACGTCTGTTACACTGACGTTATCACTAATTTATTGATACAGTAATGATATAAATCGTTTAATATTCTCTTACCTGAATGTCAAATTCTCTTAGTATGTAAAATCTATATACGCGAGCCACGCCGCGGGCACAGCTAGTCATTAGTATAGTTGTAGCACGGATGGGTCGGCTCGACCGGGGAAGCACCACGCTCTCACAGAATACCAGCGTTAAATAGTAGCTTAACGCTGCTGTGTTTCGTATGGTGAGTGTAGTTCATTTTTACTGGAAACGAGGCATTCCGTCTTAGTCCTCACGGGTGACAACGCATCTACATTTTGATGTAGATGTCTATGAGCCACAGCAAGCACTTACCATCAGGTGAACTGTGTGCTCGTTTCTCACCCTTATCATATATAAAAAATGACTTTCTACTATCCCAATGAGATTGTTTGTTGTCTGTCCATTGTTTTTATTTTTAAAATATTTATAGAAAGACAACTTGGAGGAGGAGGAGGAGGTATCTATTGACTACAGGTGGTTTCTTACCCTTAGATGGAGCGCAAATTCACTTGCGACTCTCTATTCTTCTGCTATTAAGTAAAACTCTTACATCAAAAGTTACTAAATTGCGTAAAAATTATTTTATTCTTTTTATACCTTCGAAGTCGGTATTTACTATTTTAAAAGTTTAATTATCGACCCTTTTGAGTGGACTAACCTATTTTACAAGTAGAAGGTAACCAACCAGAGTGTCATCCATATAATTTTTATAGTATTTTATATATATCACATTATTTTCCATCCCTCCCGGGTTAACTCGGAGACTGGGAGAGAACGCGAAAAGGCATTAACTTCGCCCTTTGTAATCTTTTTTATCAATAAATTATGTTTGTAATAGCATACATTTAAATGGGAAGGTACAACCTATTTAATAAAATTATAATAATTAAAAATGATTCCTCATTGTCGAGTAGGTATGTTACGTAATACTCTTTATTTTTTAAGTAGGGTTAAAAGTTTTACCGTATAGAGGCTGTCCTCCTGTGGGTGTTGTAAGAGGCGACAGAGGGCAAACTGAAATGGGCAGCAGCATCTTCTTGCATAGATTACTGTATAGATAGATGCGCAACTCAAATTTCATTTTCGTTATTGCGCAGTGCTTTGCCTAACAGATGGCGCTTAATTCTTACAAAAGAAGGAACTTGAAAAAAAGGGAAAAATTAACACATCGGGACTCGAATCAGGGTCTTTTGATTTCGGGACGGCCCGATTTCCCGCCTGAGCTATTATAATCTTGTACGTAGTGGCGAAATTTAACTTCGTATTCTAATGATATTTTAGTAGTTTTTCATTGCCTGAACACACAGATTCGGAGATTCGGAGAAGAACGGCATTTTCTAAAAATAAATCCTAGCCAAATCAATTTATCGTCCCCGAAACCCCTGCACACTAAAATTCTTACCAAATTGGTCATTGTGTAAGAAAAATTAATTATTATGAAAGATAACACACGCATCGTACGAGAAAATAGAATAATGTTCAAAGAATATTAATAACAATTTAAGCGTAACTACCAGTGACCGCTACTAACTGCGTAGTGCGCATGGATTATTGCGTATACATAGACTTAATACATAAGTGTGCCCTCTAGTGAGATTAAAATAAGTCTAGCCTAGCGCTTCGGAATTTAGATGGAAGCACATAAAACGTATCATTTTGTTCGTAAAATAATGTTCTAAGTTGCATGCCCTTCTTCTTGATAACAAATAATCGCGTGGACAGAGACGGGGTGTGGGCACCGAAACCGCATTCCTGTAATGCGCCTAATTTTATGGCCAAGTTGTAGTGTTAAATCCCTAGTAATTTTTTTGTTCTGAAAAATTGCAAAAAAAAATGCTCCAAATATGTTCAAATTTTATTTGACGATTCTGACTAGACAATTACAACTTTTAACGTATACAAATTGATCTTATTTTATATAATCAAAAGTTACAATTAATTTTTCACTAAACGCACTTATACTTATATGGTTGTGTTTTATAACGATGACGGTGTAGGTAACATGTGTTAACAATCCTTATAACCGTTATCATAATAGAGATTTAATCTAATTACATGATTTGAGCAATAAAATACTTTTTCAAAATGTTAGTCTTTGTAAATATTCCTATCAAAACTTACTATGTTAGTTTAAGAAGATATAATATTTATTTTTAATAAATATTAAGAAAAAAAAATAAAGATATAAATTATCCGTAAAATTTAATAAAGTTTAATATTCATACTGTGATTATTTGTGATGATTGTTGTAATATTTTATCTAGGAAATTTGAATTTTATACAAATATAATATAGAACATTCCTATAACAGAAACTATTGATATCATAGAGTTATATGTACTACGTACTAGAGAAGCCATTCCAAACAAAAATTGTGTCCTACTCTGTCCTGTCATCGCGCATGCGCGGGAGTAGTAGTCGCGCATGAAGACTTTAATTTATTATAAAATATCTTAATTTAATCTAAACAAACATATTTCTAAATAAAATGTAATAATAATAATTTTATGGAATTCACAAATCTTCAATTTACGCAATATTTAGTTTGTATGGATTACACTACAGTTCAGTTGAACATAGTCAATGTTCGGAATGGCTTCTCTAGTACGTAGTACATATAACTCAATGATTGATATTTGTAAAATACTTATTATGCATTATCTCTTTATATAAAAATCAATAGCTGGCCGTTAGTCTCGCTAAAACACGAAAACGGCTCGAAGATTTTAATGAAATGTTTTGTGTGCATTTGAGTGGGTTTCTGGATGATTTAAATTTACAATTGAATCCGGTAGGTGGCACTATTGTCGAGATCTAGAAATCCCCCGTGCAAAGCCGGGGCGGATCGTAAGTGGTAAATAAATTAGAAGTTTAGAAATCAATACAGCAAAAAGCAGAGAAAAACAGGTCTGAAATTACCAGATAAAAATATATGCTTCGAATTAAAAGAAAACAGTAATATACTTTTGCAATAATAGTGAAAACAGAGCATCATTTCTTTTTAATCGATGCATAATATTTATAATTCGTTATACCCTACACACAATATTTACAATTCGTTAGGCATACAACATTTTTCAAATCAAAAAAATTACAAAAGTTTATTTTAAGGATTTACAATAACATATTTTTGAAATTAAATCGAAAATGTACTAATCAATTTTATAACTTCATCACATTCTTCATCATATTCTCATTTACACGCTATTCCTTCAAACTCCTATAACCGTTCATCAGAGCTCTTCCTAATGACTAAAGGTTTCAGTTTGCTCCTCAGTTTAACTAGTCGCTTACTGACTTTTGCGTTTGAATTCGGATTTCTTAGATCCGGCATAGATTTGCTTTCGTGAACAGGCAGCGACTCCGCAGGTTTCACTGCTCCGTAATACCGAGGCATACTGAAGTCGTTTTCTTGGAACATTAACTCCGTCTTCTGTTTGATACTTTGCAAGCTGGTTTCACCTTTATATTCAGATAGGGAAGGACTATCAGCGAAGAATCTTGGAAGGTTATTGCTTTTTATGATCGGCGTGTCTGGAAGTTGGCTAAGCTTGAGTTCGTGCTCCGCTAGTGACGTCACACCGACCGTAGATTTACTTTTCATTAACGGCGGCTTCTCTGGTATCAAATGCTCTGGTATGTTCAGGAATGAAGCGCTCCTGTGTGGTACTTTCGACAAGAGCATGTTTATTTTATTTGGATCTATGTTCTTTAAACTTTCAACTCGGTTTAACGTTGACTTCAGTAGTTTGTTACCACTGTCAACTCGTTCTAAGGTCTTCGCACTGTCACTTCTATGGATGTTGTTTTTCTGTCGCAAAATCCCCTTTACACTTTCAACCCTTGGTAAAGTTAAATTCAGAGGTAAATTCACTACTGATATAGGATCGTATTCGTAAACTGGATTTTGTGTTGTCATTTTCGGTTCTCCTTTTAGTGTAACAGTGCTGGGTTTGATCACGTCTTGCTTCTTTACTGCCACACTCATCGTTAAGCCATCTTCAGTGTCTTGACTCTTTCTGTCCTCTTCTTCTTCGTCTATTTTAAACATGTCGTAGCTCGCAAGCAGTTCATCTTTGAACATTATCTCGAAGTCTGTCACTGGTGAATCTACTTCATCTTCAAAGTAGACTTTCGTTCTATTTGGTCTATCGGATAGGTAATCCGGTTCAGATTTGGTCTCTATATCGTCCAAAGTATCGCTGCTGCCTCCTGATTTGAGTTCATGATCGTCTCTAAATATCAGTGATTTAGAGAAAACCTGTAAAAAATAACAGAGATTTTAAAGACTGTTTCGTATTGAACGGACTGTATCTACGGATGCAAAAGCGTAAATCATAAAATAAACACAATACCACAAATTTTATCAAGAGTTAGATAAAATTAGAAAATAGTACGAAATATTTATTTTTGAAAATGTATAATAATAATAAAATCTCTCAACAGAAACGTCATGAGAGACATCTCAAAGAGTCACGAGTGTATGCCCAAACACAGGTGCTCTCCCTATTCCTTCACTGTCATAGTCCGTTGAAACTGAAAACTGGCTGGTACTGAAAAATTTTTGACAGAAAAATGCTATAACTAATTTTTGACCTGATCCGAGATCCGAACCCAAGGCCACTTGATCAACAGTTTTATTTACAAGCAACAAAAAAAGCAGAATGGGTCTTGTTGCAGTGGGTGTCGGTAGACCACGCAACGTTTTTATTTTTTAAGCATTCCTATTTCTTCACTAAGTTTTCTTTCACACCCACGTCCTGAAAAGAAACAGATCCTCTGAATGCCGAATAATTATATGGAGCGATTTATCCGTGCTGTATTATTTCGGCATTTCACGCCACCACGTGTGCAATGACTTTTTCTGCTACCAGGACGGCGCCACTTAAAAGTGAAGTATATTATTTGACAGATATCATAGCGGGGAAGTTAATTTGTTCGGAAAATGTAAAGGTTAATGTTTCTTTCTGTAATATTAGCTACATTTTATATTATTAGAATTATAAATAAATAAATCACACCACAGATATTCATAAAAGTAGAAAAGTATAAAAAAACGTTAATAGTGTGGAAAAAATTAAAGAGCAAACCACTGAGGCATTGTTTTGTGTATTAATATAACACTTTTGAAGCTGATAAACTTTTATTAAAAACTAACTTCTCAATTAAATGACATTGTGTACCAAAAAACTTTACCTCAGTGTCAACTAGCAACATCTGGTGAGCAGCAAATTATTAGCCCTCATTGGCGAAAGAATGCAGCTGTGTTTTGTATTAGAGGGACGAAAATTGGAAACCCATTTTACTGGTAACGAGGCATGTCATCTTAGTTCTCAAGGGTAACTATTCATCTGTATTTTGATTCCTAACTGAGGTTAGACGTAGGTGTATATGTGCTGTAGCGGCCACACACTATCGGATGGACTGTGTGTGCGCTTATCACCCTAATATTAAAATTCTATATCAAACGGTTTATTAGATTCCGACAAGTTTTATCGGATGATTAGCCAACCCGCACGCTCTACCAAAATCATTACGGACGTAACTTCGGCATGTCCTTCTCCCGTTACTGTTAACTTCATTATCCTACTGCCAGCTCTCGTCATAACTGCAGAGAACATGTTCTCACCTTAATCTTTAGGATTAAATGCACAACATTTTTTTATAGGATAGGGAGACAAACGAGCACACAGTCCACCTGATGGTAAGTGGTTGCTGTGACCCATAAACATCTACATTTATCCTCAATAAAGAATCAAAATGCAGATGCGTCGTGAGGACTAAGATGGAATGCCTCTTTTCCAGTAAAATGTGTCTCCGGTTCTCTGCGCTCACCATACGAAACAGCAGTATCAAGCTGCCATTTTACGCTGGTATACTGTGAGATCGTGGTCCATCCCCATTCGAGCCGACTCATTTGTGCTACAACTATACTACTAATATAGCTGCAGCATGGCTCTACCATGTATGAATTAACACTCATGTGTATATACACTTGAAAACGAGAAAGCGCTGCCATCCCGTTTTGATTTTTAATCAATCTTTTTTTAGTCAAAATCCATAGATGGATATATGATTTGGCCCATACTCACCCACTGAGCGAGCTGGTATTTAAGCTAAGTGATAATTTTCTCGCCTGGTAATGCTGTTATCCGTTACAAGTCTGTGGGAATGAGGGCTAATAATTTTCTGCTCACCAGATGTCGCTAGTTGACACTGAGGTAAAGTTTTTTGTTACACAATGTCATTTAATAGAGAAGTTACTTAGTTTTTAATAAAAGTTTATCAGTTTCTATATTAATACACAAAACAATGCCTCAGCGGTTTGATCCATAATTATTTGCACATATTTAACTCTTTTTTAATTTTTCTACTTTTGTGAATATCTGTGGTTTGGTTTATTTCTTTTTAATCCAATTAATATAAAGTAGAGCTAATAGTACAGAAAGAAACATTAACCTTTTCATTTTCCGAAAAAATTAACTCCCCCGCTATGAAATCTGTCAAATATTATACCTCACTTTTAAGTGGCGCCGCCCTGGTGGCAGATAAGTCGTGGCTGTCCTCACTGGGTCAAGCGTACAACCGCGCGCAGAAGTTTTACCGATGATCACCCTATATAGTATCTATAACAACGCTTCAGTGACCCGTGACGTATTGACGCTACAGGTAAACCTTTTGCGCGCGATTTATTTATGGATTTTGTGTTAGTCAATCATCGTCATATCAACACTTCCGCCCTCGATTTTAATAAACTTGTAAATAATTACCTCATAAATTTTATCAGCGTGTATCGGAAGCTCCTTCAACTCCCTACCCACGACAGCTGTAGGTGGGAGGTGGTTGTTGTTGTGGGGCTGCTGGGTGACCACGCTATCCAGGCTCGCGCCCATGTTCGTAATACCGTTGCTATATACTGAAGTGACATTGTCATCCAAACTGCAAATAAAGAATTTGGCTTCAACAGATCTACTTTTGACACCGTGAAACGGCAGTTCAATTCATCTAGTAGGGGCCGACATACACTTTTCTTATAGATGCAGGAAGTCAATGGATGCACCTTGGACCTTGCTTTGTGGCATTCCTTAGGAGTAGCCTACGTCAAACAATGGACTTGTGAATGGATGTGATGTATGAGAGAATTCACCACTGCATATTATCACGTGGTTATCGAAAGAAGCCAATTATTTTTAGTCGTTATTAAGAAGACGCTGGTGCCTAACTCCTGATTTGTTTCCCCACGGAATAATATGGAGTAGTGGATATTCTTACACCGCCACCACACGGTCCATTGGACTTTTAATAGATTATAATAAATGATGAAGGAATAAGATCAACTTTTAAATTTCATTGAAGAATGTGTAAAATGTGTGATGATGTGTGGAAAGGTGATAAAAGTTTGTTAAATGATCGTTTTTGTCGTTATATGTATATTATCGAAATCTTAAACACTTAAAGCCGTTGGTCCTGCAGCTGATCTCTCTCCGGTCGTGTCGTACATCGGACAATGATAGTGAGGGAACAGAGAGTGCACCTGTGCTGGCGCATTTTTTTTATAGAATAAGGGTGACAAACGACCACACAGTTCTCCTGATGGTAAGTGGTTACTGTGGCCCATAGACATCTACATCTATCTTCGTTTACGAATTAAAATACAGATGCGTTGTCGGCCGTGAGGACTAAGACAGAATGCCTCTTTTCCAGTAAAGAGGGTCTCCGGTTCTCTACACTCACCATACGAAACACAGCAGCATTAAGCTGCTACTTTACGCTGGTATTCTGTGAGAGCGTGGTCTTTCTGCGGTCGAGCCGACCCATTCGTGCTACAATTATACTATTAATATAGCTGCAGAATGGCTCTACTACATATAAAATACGCATACTCTTGGGCAGTATAATCCCGTCCTGCGCCGATGGCTAGTCTTCGTTGAGACTGGCCGCCGTGACCGAAATTCGGTCTGGAGGACATTAGTATCAACGACGATTCTGAGTTCCAGTCTAGTTATAGCCTTTATGGTATACTCTAGTCTTTCTGTTAGGCACAGGCCTCCTATAATATCTGAGAGGCATAAGGAACAATTAAATTAATCCGTCGCACTTCTCGGTAGCGTATTGTTAGATTTCGCATGTCTTCGAAACATTTTAATTTCTCAGATTCAGACAGAGGGAATGCGTGACCTTATCCTCGAGCACGGCCGTATACCTGTAACAATCTACTGTTGGGCACCTGCCTGCCCCATAGTTGGTGATTAGTCTCTAAACTAAAGGATCAATAAACTCTAAAAGCTAGAAGGTTCGCAGCAACAGACGTTTCGCAATATAACGCTACGTCCCGACGTTGCTCTTGGTATATTATAAGTAGTATACGAGAGTTTATACCACAATCTGTCGAAGTCTATAAGATATTTCCCGCTTTTCCTATAGTCACCTCTTAGGCTCATCATCATCATCACCATTACAGCCTTTCATAAGTCCACTGCTGAACATAGGCCTCCCCCAAGGAATGCCACAAAGCACGGTCCTGAGCCACCTGCATCCATCGACTTCCTGCATCTCTTACCAGGTCCTCACTCCATTTAGTGGAGGGTCGTCCTACACTTCGCCTACCGGTACGAGGCTGCCACTCGAGAACCTTTCTTCCCCATCGGTGGTCGGTTCTTCGAGCTATATGGCCGGCCCACTGCCACTTCAGCCCACTAATCCGTTGGGCTATGTCGGTTACTCTGGTTCTACTGCGGATATCCTCATTTCTAAGTTTATCACGCAGGGAAACCCCGTGCATAGCCCTTTCCATAGCTCGCTGAGCGACCTTGAGCTTCCTCATACGGCCAGCAGTGAAGGACCACGTCTCAGATGCGTAAGTCATCACTGGTAACACGCAGTGGTTGTACAATTTACTTTTCAGGTTTTGAGGTATGTCTAACGAGAAGATGTGTCGTAGTTTCACGAACGCTGCCTTGAATCGACGGATTCAACTCGGCTGGAACAGATCCTCTCAGAACTTAGGATGTTACCACACAAATCGATCAATCGCGGAATGGATTAGTCGACGTCGATCGAGCTGCTTGGTTATTCGAGACCCCCCACCCCCCGCTTCACCGACCGCTATTTAAAATGTGGTTTAGATGTAATAAGCTATGGACCTCTCGCCTTAAAAAACGGTCGCATCCAGAGTTTTCTGCGTTTGCGTCTCCGTAATACCGTCATAATAATATAAGCAAGAGCGTACAGCCCAACAATAACGCGTCCTGTTCTGAATACATTTTGAAAGACACTGATGATCAACCCACAACTACATCGATTAATTGTCGATCGATGATTAAACATGTTGTATCGTCCAGTATCCGTCGATCTGCTACAGCTACCAAACCAATCGATCCACATCGATCGACGATCGATGCCATTAAACAACGTTGTATCGACCTGTATCCGTCGATCTGCTAAAGCTACCAGCTTTATCAGATAAAGATCTGGGGCAGTGAATATTATTACACCGCCTTTATAAGATTACTCGGCATTCCAACCATTTCCTATAATCATTTATAGAACCTAAATGTCACTGCTGAACATAGGCCTGCTTCATGTATTGCCGTATAGTGCAGTCCTGACCCACCTGCATCACATCTCTGCACATTTATAGTCTGTATCTCATAGTCGCCTCTTGCTTGCAAATTACGGGTCTGAATATTTGTTCATGTGCGATATATATAAAATGCTTCTACGATACTTGAGAAAATCCGAGAGTGAAAGATTAACCTTTAGGACAAAAAGTAATAAAAAGTAAACTAGATTCCGTTTTATACCTATGTTTGTATTTAGGTATAAAAAAATCTTTTAGCTTCACTTATCAACATGTATCACTGTAATAATCGGCTCATATGCTCGATAAGATATCAATACTTACATATGTTTTTAACATAAAACAAGTAATTTTACGGATTTCATTACGAGACACAACTATTTAAACACACTATTTTCATTGTGACACTAATCTAATATATGTAGACACGACTAAAAAATACTGGCCAGATCGAGAGTAAAGTTTTTACTCTAGCGAAGCATCGTATCTGTGGTTACGTGGCAACCGTTATTGTTTTATAGGATTTTTGAAAATAACATCATCGGGAAAGCGTACTGTATTTTGCGACGAATTGCTAAACATCTGCTTACTATATTTCCATCGATCACTTATAAAAAACTAGATACACAATCAGTGACAAAGATGTCCTTACCGAATGAGCGCCCACTCGAACATTTGGGTGCGCTTTTAATTTGTACGTAGCTTTATGATTACAACTTTAGGAAATGGACTAAAGGTTGAATTTACATTGATGAATTCGCGTCTGGACTCTGGACAGTAGCAACAGCGTACCATCTCAATTACCTCACTGCGGTACCGCTATGTCTCAGGTCCGTATCACCAACAAGGAGGTTCTTAAAACCTTGCGAAGTCTAGACGTGAACGAAGCTAGTGGACCGGATGGTTGACCTAGTGGTTTGTGCACCTGAGTTGTCTCCTGTGTTGAGACGCTTGTTCCGCCTTTCATTCAGGACTGGAATAGTGCCCAAATCTTAGAAGCTGGCCAATGTGCAGCCTGTGCCTAAAAAAGGTAGCCGTACCTACCCTGCCAACTATTGGCCAATTTCAATTACCTCCACACTCTGCAAGATTATGGAGCGTATATTGAACACCCACCTCATGGCATACCTAGAGCAAAATGATCTCCTCAGTGATCGTTAGTACGGGTTTCGCCGAAATCGATCAACTGGGGACCTTCTAGCGTATGCCATTCACATATGGGGCTAAGCCCTCGAGAACAGTGGTGAAGCACTTGCTGTTTCCCTCGATGTTTCGAAGGCCTTTGACAGGGTTTGGTACGCTAGTCTATTGGGCAAGCTTTCAGCGTACGGCTTATCCACTGGCCTGATTGTCTGGGTGAACGACTTTCTGAATGAACGTTCTCTCCGGGTCGTCGTCGATGACTGCTCATCCGATACTGTAGCGACTAACGCCGGTGTTCCTCAGGGATCAGTTCTCTTAGCAACTCTTTTCCTGCTGCATATAAATGATCTGCTCATTCCCCGTATTTATGGGTATGCAGACGACAGCACAGTTGTAGAGAGATACCAACCAAGTGCCCCGGCCAGTCGGGATCAAATCCAGTCAGAAAGAAAGGCTATGGTTGAGCGTGTGAGTCTCACACTACAGGCAGTCTCCGAATAGCGCGATGCCAATCTCGTGAGATTTAATGCCTCCAAAACACAAGAGTGTCTTTTTACCGCTAAAAGGAGCTCGCTCACCTTGGGCTCCTACTTTCCGGAATGTATCCTTGGAGTACACCGACCGCCTTCAGTTGTCAGGGGTTGAATTTTCTCCGAATCTCAACTATGGTATATATACGTGGTAGAGCCATGCTGCAGCTATATTAGTAGTATAGTTGTAGCACATTAGCAGTAGCTCATTGGTGATCTTGATTTGGTTGAAACCAATCTTGTCAGCCTCGAGCACAGGCGCAGAGTAGCCAGACTCTCCGTATTCTATAGGATGCATTTCGGCGAGTGTGCGCAGGAATTACACGCTTTAATTCCTCCGTCTCCTTTCCACCATCGGACAACCAGGCGGTCGGCGGGTCGTCACCCCCTTTGTTGTCGATATTCCACGCATTAGAACCAAAAGGTTTGCTTCGTCTTCTTTTCGTTCGAATACAATCTGGGCGTCTTCAAGGTAAGAGTGAATAGGCTTTTGTTACGCTAAGATAGTGCGATTTATCATCAAGGGCTGCATCAGCACTTACCACCAGGTAGGATTGTAGTCAAGCACTGGCTTTATAATAAGAAAAAAAAATGTATATATATTTCAATAAGAATTACGTCAAAACAATAATTGGCGACAGTTTTTAGAGAACTTTTGCATGGGATTGTGTATGTAGTTTTTTTATTAGTGGTCGATGTATATTTCTCTTGTATTTAATGTTTTAACTTTTAACGCACGCATATTTTCGACATCCATCATGAGTGCATCTGAGTATGATCCTCTTTCGCCTACATACTAAGCCTAATTGTATAACAATTAATGCTTGTTTGTAGACCGTGCGAAGACCTACCAATAATCTAAGATGCTGCCATACCGTTCATCAGATTGCGCTAAAAAAACTTTGTCAACTTATTGCTTGCACTTGGTAGCACAGGTTATAGGCATAGTACAAATAACTTACAAGTAGGTGACGCGCGTATCGTACAGATAAATTTATTTGAAAGTCATATATTGTGATTTAATTTCAATGAACGTATATCCATCCATTCCTAATTAAAAAATATAACTGTTCCAAATTTAAAACGATATTTCTACAATTATTTTTTTTTCTACATTTAATAAAAAATAAGATATTTCAAAATAAATGCATTTGTATTTGAGACTGTAGCGAATAACATACAGATGGTGATATTTTTGGTTGGTTGGAGTTACTACTAGCTACTAGTTGAAGAGCCTGGCCTGGTGATGGATGCAGGAAATCGATGGGTGCAGGTGGCTCAGGACAGTGATTTGTGGCATTCCTTGGGGATGCCTATATTCAGTGGCCTTTTGATGGGCTTTAAATAAACCCTACTTACTTGTAAGTCGCGATTTTCTTGTCGAAGCAGAACCTCTCCTCGCAGCAGTTCCAGTACATCGTCTCCAGGCAGCTGTGGATAGAAGAAATTTATTTAAGAAGAACAATATTTAATCGATCTATATATTTGTCCCAAAAATGTTTTTACCAAACTAATATTTTATCCTCTGTATCAAGAAGGAGTTTGTTTAACATACAAATATACATAGATTAAGTATATCAAATAAATTTATGGAATCTTTCTAGGTCATACATAAAATTGTTCCGTGTGATGGGCCCTATACACGATCGGCCATGATGGACAACCACAGAATGGGCCATGGTTGTCATAATCATTGTGCGGCTGCCCACACGATCGTGCATCCTACATATTTGTATTGTCATCCTTCCGAGACGGACGTTGAAACAGTTGTAACTGCCGCTATTTATTTACTTAATTAGTTTATATGTATAAGCATTTTTTTTTAATTTGAACCCCAAGATTTGAACCCGTAGTTCTACAGCGTCGCAGTCAAACACATAACCTACGCTAATAAGATGGCGTAGTAGTGTTCTTTTATAAAGAATAAGGGAGACAAACGAGCACACAGGCCACATGATGGTAAGTGGATGCTGTGGCCTATAGACAAATATTTACATCTATTCTGGATTAGAATGCAAAATACAGATGCGTTGCCACCCTTGAGGACTAAATAGAATGCCTCGTTTCCAATAAAGATGATCTCCGGTTCTCTACTCTCATCATTCGAAACACAGCAGCTTTGAGGTGCTATTTTATGCTGATATTCTGATAAAGCGTGGTCCTACCACAGAATATATAATAGTTGGTCGAGCCGACCCATTCATAATACAACCATAATATAGCTGCAGCATGTCTCAACCTCGTAAAAAAATGCATAGGCCCTAAATTTTTTTCAAGGATAAGGGTGACAAACGAGCACACAGTCCACCTGATGGTAAGTTGTTGCTGTGGCCCACAAACATCTACATCTATCCTCTATTACAAATCAAAATGTAGATGCGTTGTCACCCGTGAGGACTAAGATGGAATGCCTCATTTCCAGTAAAAAGGGCCTCCGGCCACCTGCAGTAACCAAGCGAAACGCAGAGGCAAACCTCTACTTCACGCTGGTTTTCTGTGAGGTCGTGGTACCACCCCGGTTCGAGCCGGCCCATCCGTGCGACAGCAAAAGCTGCCGCATGGCTCTACCACTGTTAAAAATTATAAATAAGATAGATGATACCTTTGTCAGTTAATAAGTTATTTCTTAGTTTAGTTTATTTAACTTTTTTAGATCTACCAGGACGTCATAATCGCATCAGCTTTTGTTTATGATTAAAAAAACATTTAATGTTTATAAATCTAACCATGATAAGACGGAACTCATGTGTAATATATTTTTTCAGTCGTGAATAGTTCAATGTATGGACAATGTTATTTGGCATAAGGTAGTTACAAGTACGCTATCTCTCGAACTATATTCACTCAATAAACCGACTTTAATAAAACAAAGACTAAATGTAACTCGAAGTTATACTTCATGATTTTCTTAACGATTCGTTTGAAAAATATTAGTACTGATTTCTTATATTTACGCGAACACTACACATTGAATAAAACTACTTTTACGGATTTTTTTGTGTTTAATTAACTTATTTTTCTTATTTTTATTTATTCCCGGCGCTTCGGGTGCTTTACAGCACCCGTGGTCACGCTGGAAAGCACCCGAAACGTCGGGAATAAATAAAAATAAGATAAATAAGTTAACTAAACGCGAAAAAATCCGCAAAAGTAGTTTTATTCAAAATATTAGTACTTTAAAAATTATGCGTTTATAAACAAACAAACAGACGGGCGGACAATTCTAAAAATGATAGAAATGTATTTAATTGGTTATTTTTACTCCCTCCCAATCATTTCTTTCACAAAAATATACAATGTACAGACACACATTTTTATTATGTGTACCTATTAAATTTTAAGTGCTGATTTACCAAGTGCGAAGCGGTGAAGGAAAACATCGTGAGGAAACCTGCATGTCTGAGAAATAAGAACAAAAATATATTTCGAAGACATGTGAAGTTCGCCAACACGCATTGGGGCAGCGTGGCGGACATTTCCTTGCCCTAAAACCCTCTCAGAAATGAGAGGAGGCCTGTGCCCAGCAGTGGGATGTATATAGGTAACTTTAACTTAACATTTATATGTATAAACAATAGATGAGATGGAATCCTAGAGTATATCATAAGCAAGCTACGCTTATACACTCTAAGAATGGAACCTGTATAGGATAACGCAGAGGGGCTTCGGTAGTTAATGTAAAGAACCTAAAAAGTGCTTTGTAAAAGCCCATTTTGAAAAAAATATTGTCTTAAATTTCTGTAGTCCCGGTATGATATACGCAGCATTACTTTACAGCTCTCATAAGAAAAGTCTTGGTGGTAAATATTGCCACTCAACCATTTAAGAAAGCCGCTTTTGACCTCGTGGTGGGGGTGTAAATATATCCACTACCCAATATCGTTCCGCACGTGTTCTAAAAGGCAACACAGGGAAACCAGGAGTTGGGAAGCAGCGTCTTCCTAATAACAAATAAAATAATTTACTGCGCTTGCCAACCCTTAAGCCAAGAGCGCAACCATGGAAATATGTATAAATATGAGGTAATCTATGGGGAAGTCCTATGTTCAGCAGTGGACTTTTAATAGGTTGTAAATATCGATCACTAATAAAAAAACTAGATACACAATCAGTGACAAAAAATGTCCTTACCGAATGAGCGCCCACTCGAACATTTGGGTGCGCTTTTAATTTGTACGTAGCTTTGTGAATACAACTTTAGGCGATGCGTTTAAGGTTGAATTTACATTAATGTATATTTATTTCAACTAGAATCACGTCAAAATTGGCGACAGTTTTTGGAGAACTTTTGCATGGGATTGTGAATCTAGTTTTTTATTAGTGATCGATGGCTGTAACTTTAATTTAATAAGTAGCTTGGTGACGGCACCATCCAATTTTAAACCTCCTCGGTTTCTATGGAGTGTAGAGTACAAGGAGGACCATCTCCTTATATGAAAAGTGTCCCTAAAAACGCGTACAATAAGAATGGCGCTGCAGTAGCATAAGATAAATAAAAAAAAAAGCGCCAAAATTACTTAGAATAAGATGGAGAAATAAACAGAGACCGACCAATCCGCTTGGTTTTGTACTACGTAAATATTTGAGGTTATACAAAACCGAAGTGGCAAGTCATGAAATTATTCAAATATTTGAATTCAGCTGACTTCACTCCGTCTACAACAGCTATATTCATATCGTAGTTTTTCAGACGCCAGCGCAATTGTGGTAGGTTTTGGAACCTCTATATTCGGTAAATAGTAGGACACTTTTTCAACTTTCGCCCTTTATAAGATGGTTCTCCTTGTACTCTACACTCCATAGTTTCGTAAGGGGCGACTGTGAAAAATGTCAAAAAGATGTTACGGTCTCCAATAGATGGCGGTACAATTAATTCCTATTATTTTGATGTGAAATTCTCAGACCAGCGACGGGAGCAGCGTTGGTTATGCGATATGTCTGGTCCGCCATTTGTAATCATTTGGTTGCAAATACAAAACAATTTCTTTATAGGAGAAGGGGCAAACGAGAAGGGGCACTTCTCACCACCATGCACCATGCACACACCATCAGGTGAGCCGCATGCTCACCTGATGGTAAGTGACTACCGCTGCCCATGAACAACTGCAACACCAGGAGAACCAGGGGGATTGCGTTACCGGCCTTTTAAAAACAAGTAGGCCCTTTTCTTGAAGGTCCCTAAGTCGTATCAGTCCGGAAAAATCACTGGTGGTAATTGATTTCACAAGGGAGTTGTGCGAAGAAGAAAACATCTTCTAAATCGCATTGTGGTGGACCGCCAATCAAATATATAAATATACATATATGTAATAAAACAAATAAATATATTATATAAAATAAAGAAATAAATACTCCACTGACTGTCAGGTGGACCGTGTGTTCGTTTGTCGGTTTTATTATGAAAAATATATGAAAAAAAAACCTTATAACGGGAGAGGCCCATTTCCAGTAGTCTACTTTTATTGGCAAATTTTGGTAACTATTGTTTCAAAATCCCTTAAATATCAACATAATATAATGTGTGGAACACACAGTTGGGACGAAGTTCCTTTCGTAGTATATTATTATTGATAAATGTATTACATATATTATTGATTAACAAAAATACAAATAAATGAATTACTAACATCTATTAAAATGAAGCGTCATCTATACAAATAAATAAAATTGAAGTGTCTGTTTGTAATGTCAAAATTACAGCTTTTACTAAATGCATATGAAAGTATATACGTTATTAATAAAAAAAATACAATTTTTAAAGTTTTTGTGTGTTTGTCTGTCCGTCTGTCTGTCTCTTTGTTCCGGCTAATCTCCAAAACGGCTGGACCGATTTTGACGGGATTTTCACTGCCAGATAGATAGCTGATGTCACAACGAGTAACTTAAGCTACTTTTATTTTAAAAAAGAATTAGGGTTCCGCGCAAAAAAAATTAACCCCAAATAACACGCGGGTGAAGTCGCGGGGAACAGCTAGTTTAAAATAATATTCCTTTCATGGCAAGATAAGAAAAAGTGCGAGGGAGATGGATATTATTCCATCTCGCTCGCACTATAGAAATAGGGTCGTGACGGAAAAATGTTACACTTTTTCTCGCCTGGCCCCAATCCGCCAAATTCGTACCGTGCGATAAGGAACTTCGTTGCAGTATCCAATACCCCATAAAGTCCCGTGGGTGTCGTAAGAGTCTACTAACTTACCTAGCATATTAACTACTAACTTTGCGACACTGAAACAGGAGATGGGCAGCAGCATCTTACTTATAACAACTCAAGATAAAAAAATGCGGTTGCGATTCCGTCTGCCAAACGTGGTAACTAAGGTGAAGTCCCCCTGTGCGGCAATCAGGAGGCGTATGTTCAGCTGTGGACTTTTATAGGCTGTGACGGAATATATAGAACATATAAGTAATTAATGTACTTCTTTGGTCAA